GTCTTATGGTTTGTTTTTTCCTCTTAAAAGATTATTTAAAAATGAGTTTGAGGGGTGTTTTGTTAGTTGGTGGAGACGTTTGGAGAAATAGTCTTGGATTCAAAATTACAACAACTTTTGTCACTTTATGACCTTTTATTTGTGGAAATATTTATTAGCAAGAAAAAGAAATGTGTGATTTAAAGGATAAAGTTGCTACGTAGAATGATCAACAGTTTTATTGCAATAAACAGGAACACAGAAATCAWCACAGATCCATCAGGCTCTCTGTCAAAGTGTGTGCTAACAGGCAGATCTAGTGGCTAACTCTTCATACTGTTTCAACATACAAATGCTATCTTAAACAAAGACTGTACTGGGTCAAGATAAATAACAATGATCTTGTCCTGGCTAAAACATCCTTATGTGTTGAACAAAAAGAACAGAGTCGTCACAGTAAAGATGATGTCAGTGGGTCAGGAAAATATCTCATACCCTGCTGACCTAGATCAAAAAGTATTTTTCCTGTACACACAAGTCTTTAATTAACAAAAACAGAAATGCTGAATAAAACTGTAAGATGGGTGTTTCATAGTCTTTACTTAGATTATTGCTATTTGTGTGTTTTATGTGTTTGGGTATAAATCCTGACAGGACACCACTGAGACCAACAGTGTTCCTTATGTTAGTTTCCCATTTAGGTGTTAATACTGGGAGCTGAGTATTGTAGCATTACAGTACGGGTATAAAATGAAACGTATGTGTGATATTGTAAACTTTTTAAAATATCAGTTTCTGTTCCTGAGCAGACCTAGCCTGGCCCTTGCCTTCCTACGCAGTTCTGCTCAGTTCTAGTTTTGCTTCACTGCTCCGTCTGGGACTTCTCCCATAGACAAGGATTTCTTAGGGAAAATTTTCATCCGGGCCAATCAGAGAACAGAACCTTGATTCTCTGCACAGTGTCTGCTAGTTAGTTTAGCATACAGCAGTGGAGGAAGTGAATGAAGCCAGTCTGTAAGGCTTCCAAATTAAATTAAATTAGTCTGACAAAGCAGCAGCTCTCATTTACAGTCGTCTCATTTGGCTTGGTACTTTTCTCCTCTCAGTAGGGTTGTTTACAGCACACGATTTCCGGTTAGCTTCCTTCACAGCCAACCAATCCAATCATTTTAAACTTCAACAGAGGCCACGCCTCCAGCAAGAATCACTTCTCTAATGTCGGTGTGCTTGTGATTCACCTGTTTGCTGACCACACAGTCAAACGGTTAATTAGCACACCTATCAGCCTCYTTCGTTTCCTTGTGTGTATAATTGGTCCCGAGTGTTCTGTCATCCAGAGTTAACTGGTCCTCACGTCCTCGGTTCTCTCTGCTCCACATAGTAATCTTACTAGACAGAAGCACTTTAGCTGTGGCCTTTTGTCAGAGTCTCACAGAGGAGAGTAGACATGCAACTCCAATATCATCATTAGTCTTAATATTGTGAAAAAGTACTTTAATACAGAACCCATAGTGTATTTATCAAAATGCAGTAAATATGCACTATGTTGCAGTGCATGTCAGCTGCTGGTCCCTGGATCATATCTGGTTCAGGAGCTCCTTCCATCCAGCCCACCAAGTTTTAAATTAAAAGAATCCATGTTGGCAGTTCTCGATCTTATTCTTTTTTTCTTTTTCTTCTTGGCCAAGTGCAAATGCCTACTACTGGATTTAAACATCTGCTTTCACTTTTGGGCCAAATGCAATGGGGTTTTAGCTTGAGACGTTTGTCATTGAGACAACAAAAAGGTTTGTTGMGTCTTGTGTAGTGAGAATTCAACCCCAAAACTGTAACTAAATAGTATGGCTGCACATATCAGGAAAACCTGGGATGTGCGACAGCACTGCTTACTATTGCGATGATGATATGATTTGCAATAAATAAACAAATACATAAGTATGCAGTGTTCATACTGTATCTTACTGTTCTGGGTTCAAAGTAAAAAACAACAACAACAAAAACCTAATAATTTCTATTCCAGTATATATATATATATA